TTCAAAAAATTAGCTGTAATTTCTAAAAAAATTAGTTTTTTAGGTTTTTCAAAAAAAAAAATGGTATTAAATTGGACTTTTTCATTATTTTACATAAAGTATGTAAATACTGACAAGGTATCTCTTGGCTGACTATTAGTTGTCCATTAATTCACTTCACAATCAATAATTCATTTTCCCTATCTCAGTTATATAAATATATATATATATATATATGTGTGTGTGTGTGTGTGTGTGACAATAAAATCAAATTCGACAATAAAATTATTTATTATGCTACACGATTCAATTCAAAATGTATAAAGAACATATTCTTGTGATATTTTAAATTGGAGCATAGTGTAACTATGCTCCCTTGGAAGCATATAGTTTACTTCTTCTCCTCGGTCAAACTATCTATTTGGGAGGATTTTTTCAATATGAAATTTTGGGAATCACTTAAAAATCCAGAAACGATTATTCTTTAGAAAAATTGAAATTTGAGTTTTCTAACACTTAGATCTCACCTTCTAAAAATTAGATTGTTTTTTTTTTTAACGTTCTAAACAAAATTAGTTGATTTCTATTCACTCTTGAGACATTATTTTTTTTTCCAGTACTGTAGATCATGGAATTAGGAATTTTTCAATTGATTTTAATCTATGAGTTGAAGAGGTTATGTCCTTAAAATTCAAGGTTCTAAAATTAACTCTAGGTAAGGTTTACCTAAGAGAGTAAAGAGACAGTATAGTCCCAAAAGAGTAGAATTTATTTTTATGTTTTGAAAAGTAAAGGAGTAGAATTTCTTTGGCTTAATAGCACTTAATGCCCCCTGTCTCTCCCAGTCTTCGGGTTGCCTATTCAATCTCTAGCATAATACATGTTTCTCTCTCTTTCGCTCTATTAATCTATTATTCGGTCCCACGTCGAGTCCCTTCAAGGAGTCTATTTGAATTGTAAGCTTTTTCTACGAATTTCAATCAAATAAAGTTTGAGATCTACTTCTCTCATCAAGACACATCTAATAAAAATATTTTATTCATAAGAAGTAAATCGATCAAAATACTCATAAATTATTTTGGGTATTTTGGTCCATTTAATTTTAGGTGTAGTTTGTATAGAGCCGAGGTTATAAACAATCAAATTAAAGCCCACATTCAAATAGTGTCAAGAAATGTGGTTTCAATACTGGAAATCTTTGTGATAGCCTTAAAATATAGTTTTATATTTAATTATGAAATTTAAAGTTTAAAAAATAGTGTACATCGAGTAAATCTATAAAAACTTGAAAATCTTGAAAATTGACGGTCCAAAAATGCAGTACAAGATGCATTATTTTCAAAACTTGAAATCTATTTTTTTTCTCATGTTCATGCATCTTGATGTCGAGATGATCAATTTGAGGATATTTTGGCATCAAAACAACCTCTTCTAGTAAACGTATTTAAGCAAGCTCTAATTTGATTGTTTAGAGCCTTGGCTCTACATAAAAAAAAAATTAATTTTGGTTTGTTATATTTGGGTTATGTTAGGGTGCTCATCGCTATGGAGTATTTTATCATTGCACTCAACAAAATCTAGACACATATATACCCTTGTTTTATATATGGAGCTTTTTTTTATGAAGGGCATTTTTGGTAATTAGAAGGGGTGTGACGTTATCTACCTGGGCTATGTCATCACCCACATGAAGCATTAAATGCCACTATATGCTTCGACACTTCATGTAAATGACGTCACACTACTCTTAAGACCAAAAATACCCTTATTAAGTACAATTCTAATAATGATCATGACCTTAAATTTTCCCTTGAGCCATCCCATGCCTAGGTAAAAGGATATGGTTGTGTTAGATATGCAGCCAACTTAAAATTTTGCCAAAATTCATCCCTTTAATAAAGCAAAATGGAAAACTAGAATTCATGTAGTCGACCCCAATTAATTAGAAAAATACTAAAATGATGATGATGATTTGGTAGAACACCCTCATTCTAAAAAATTGAGTTAATTATAAGCCTCTTGATTCAAATTAGATGGGTCAATTCTTAAGAAAATTCTATTAGAGATATCTAGATTTATGTTGGAATAGGCTTGTATAGAATTCCTGTAAAATTAGGACTCAAATGGAGCCCGCAGTGGCGTCAACTCAAAGTGCATTAACAGTTAAATCCCATACCCGTTTCACCCCAAATTTTGCAGCGTAATAGATCTTGGAATTCTAATCCTATTAGAAGTGGTAGATCCATATTTGGCATATAAAACCCCCGTAGCACCTGGACCCAAAGAGGAACCAGACAGTTTCAAAGAGCCATAGTCTGAGAGAAACCCTAATTTCGAGATCCTCAACGTAAACCCGATTCCAAAGTATAATTGTATAATATCCTTAGCTTAGGTTACTACCCAATTTAAGCCAATAATCCTAGAAAGCTTTCAGTCCAACTAGAAACCCTAGGTGTGATCCCTAGGCACACAACCATCTCCAAACGAATAGAATCTGCATAGATAAAAGTGGTAAAGACCTTCCAATTTTCAATGCATGTGTTTTGTATTCCATGCAAGTAAAGCTTCGAATTGGTGAAGACTCAATATAAATCTAATCAAAGTCTGATGTGGTCCCAGCTCCGTGTGCCTTCCTATGGTTCCGGTTTGGTAAGTTTTACTTTCCTCTTTCATTATTTGATGGGTGCGATTTGTATAGAGCTGAGGCTCTAAACAATCTTAGAGCCCACTTTCAAATAGTATCGAGAAATATGGTTTCAATCCTAAAAACTTTTGTGGTAGCCTTAAATTATATTTTTGTCTTTAATTATAAAAGTTAAAGCTTCAAAAATAGTGTAGATCGAGCAGTTTTATGAAAACTTGAAAACGACGGTCAAAAAATTCATTACAAGATACGCTATTTCCAAAACTTGAAATCCATTTTTTTCTCATGTCCATGCATCTTGATGTCAGGATGATCAATTTGATGATATTTGAGCATCAAAACCACCTCTTCTAGTGTAAGTTTTAAGATAGGCTCTAATTTGATTGTTTAGAGCCTAGGCTCTATATAAACATTTCCCTTGTTTGATTTTCCTTACATTTCAATCTCAAATAGAAACTTTTAATTTTATTGATTTAAAGAAAAAAGACATTTGTGATTTTAAGTGAGATCTAGCTAGCGGTACTGGCAGTTAGTAAGTAAGAGATTATGGCTCCATAATTCGGTCCTAACCCTGAATCCATCGACTTTGAAATGTTAATTTGAGTTTTCACCCTAACAGAGAGGGTAGATTCTGAATTTGCCTTCTTGGATATGAGTATTAAGAGCTATCATAAATAGATTTTTGAAATTTTGCCATACATCAAAGTTTCTAATATTTTCTCACTAGATATATAAGAAGTATAACTATTGATTATTTGGCTTTTACAGTATATCATGCAGACGAGTGTGTATCCTCGAGAAGCAGAGGGGCTCAAAGACTTAAGAGATGCTACTGAGGCCCATCCATGGTGATCTCTTTCTCTCATCTGTGTGGGCACACTCCTCCCTGCATGTACAAAGATTGAGATGTTGACGACATTTGTTGCATTTATCATTCTCTTCATTTGTATTTATAGTATGGGAAAATATACTATATGAGAAATGCACATGTTGAAATGCAGTAGCTTTACAAAAGAAAATCTTTCTTACAAAATGGATTTAGGATTTTAAAATTTCAAATTGAAATACATCTTAGGTCGACTTTGGCAGGGACCCATGTTTGGGATATTAAAGTTAACCCAATAGATGGTTGGATTTTAGATTTGTAATGGATAGCAGATGTACCCTTAAGGACATGCACTCTTGCGAAGACCTTCGCAACATGATGGAGAAGCATGATCGCTATGAGTGACAAGAGGGTGCCCCAAGGCTTTAGACCTTCCACTTCTCAACCTGGCCCCCCATGCCCTCTAGCTTCAATACAATAGCTCGAGTAAAAAGGGCCGGTACAACACAAGGACAAATATATTTCAACTTTAGATCCAAGATTTTACAGCTCCCGAAAAGCAAAAAAAAAAAAAAAAGAAAAAGAAAAAAAAAGAGATTTGTAGAAGAACTAAAATGAAATGTCTAAAATAAAGTTCAAACAACTCTAATTTTGAAGTTCCAAATCCATCTCTTTTCAAGATTCATGATCATGGTGATGGAGAAATCCACTCACTTTAGGATTCATGATCGTGGTGGTTGGGATTACTAATCCATGAAATTTTAGATCCAAAGCCTGCCTCTAAGATGAAATTTTGAAAGGAGGCCACATTTCAACAACTGTAGTGGCTGATGCACCAAAACCCTATCCTGCACTATGTCCCCATGGACTAAAGGCGATCCGCAAAACATTTACTACACATTATTTATTCATCCAATAGCAATAGATATGGTGGGAATCGAAATCCATTATGTCATAATCTGATGATCCCAATCTCTTTCAATCATTGTATGTTCTTTGATTACTAAGCGATAAACTTGTAGACTATCATTTTTCTGCAATTCACAGAATTGTAGCATAGTCCATACACTTCTTTTATTAAATGATATATCTGTTTGATGGGCAGGGCTATCATAGCTACTTCACCAGATGGAGGGCAATTTATAAGCTTGCTTTTAAAGCTAATAAATGCTAAGAAGACTATTGAGATTGGAGTTTTCACAGGATACTCTCTGCTTGCCACGGCTCTCTCTTTGCCTGATGATGGAAAAGTACGCACTTCTCCAAAAATTTCATAATTTTTTAAATATTTCTTCACTTTAATGGTTGCAAGAACTTTTTGGTTTCATGCAACATGAAAAGATAGCATTCATATAAATATATTGTGATATTAATAATAAGGTATTTCAATATTGGCAAAATATATTGTGATATTAATAATAAGGTATTTCAATATTGGCGAGGTTTGTAAAAAGTTGCCTTCTCATAATGTAGAAGTAAAGCGGACCTTTAAAATTTGTTTAAAGATGTCTTCTTCTGTCGAAAATCTTAAGAAGACGTAGAAAATCTATTTTCATCCCTAGTTATAAATTTGAAAATTCTAGAAATGGTATAGATCGAGCAGATAAAAAATATTTGAAAATCTTGAAAATAGATGATCTAGATAACTTGTTACAAGATGCATTATTTTTTTGATTTAGAATTATAATTTTTTCTTCATGTCTATACACCGTTAAGACGATCAATTGGAGAGTTCTCCAACACCGCAATGCTATCATATGTATGGTTTTCGAGGTGCACCTTACTTCGATAATATAAGGTCACAACCTTATATAACTTATTCCCTTCAATGTTAATGATAATATTATTGTTCCCGGAAGTGTTATCATATTAATATCAATATTAGTATTAGTATGGGCATTCATGTTTCATTGGGGTTTTAGTGCAGCAGCACATGCATGTGGTATGCATGTGACTGCAGCCTCTTATGCCATGTGTTAAGAATAAATGAACTAGACGGGCTGATACAATGATGCAGTCTATTTTATTAAGACAGCACACAAGGCTGCAGCTATAAGTGTCCGTAGCCGCATGATGACATTCTTCTCTATATTTATATTTGTATAGTGGACCATTAATATTGTTAAAAGATGACCACAAATAATTGGGATAAGACTCAAATGCTAATGATGATCATTAATATTATTAATGTTGATGAGACTCCAACCCCCATTGTTGGACAATGGAGATGGAGCTATGGACTATCTCCACCATTTATGAATGCCGCTGACGCTGGAAACTAGTGTCGAACATGTACCATGTCTCATAGGAGAGTTGTGTCTTGTAAGGGTATCATTGTCATACATATGTCGTGTCTCAAAGGAAAGCCATGTTTCACACGAACACTCTGTTTTCTTTTCTCGTGTACAAAGAAAGCATTGTCACTGATACTAACCAAATGCATTGCTATATGATGACCTAAGTTCAGGTGGTGGCAATAGATATCGATAAAGCTGTATACGATGAGTATGGCCTACCAATCATCAAAAAAGTTGGGGTGGCACACAAGATCAGCTTCATCCATTCCCCTGCAATGCCAATCCTAGATGAATTGCTGCAAGATGTAAGCTCTCTCTGTATCTCTCTCTGTCTTTGTCTCTCTCTCAATTGTCCACCTCTAATGGAACTTATTATACAAACAGCCCAAGGAGGAAGGGTCCTTCGACTTTGCATTTGTGGATGCTGATAAGCCCAATTATGAGAATTACCATGAGAGACTCTTAAAGTTGGTTAAGGTTGGAGGGCTAATCATGTATGATAATACATTATGGGGTGGCAGTGTTGCTCAGGATGAGGCTTTAGTTCCAGACTTCCTGAAGCCTAACAGACACCATCTCATAAACTTCAATCGAGCCCTGGCCATAGATCCACGCGTCGAGATATCACAAATTCCTGTCGGGGATGGTGTCACCCTTTGTCGAAGGCTCTATTGATGTTCTTTTTTTGTTTTCCTTTTTTTAAAAAATGTAAATTGCAATACTCAAGGATGCCCTGTTGATCTTTGCAATGCTGGGGAAGGATTTTAAGGATAATAGAGAGGTGGGTGAGCCATTCCACCCATTCTTGTAAGTGAACCTACTTATAAATAAGGGTGGCAATGGACCCGGACCTGACCCGAGACCTGTTAGATATACCCTGTTGGATTTGGTACTATCCAAAATCACCCACATAAAGATATTCTCATATTGTGGGATTGATTGAGATATTCCCCTATTAGGTCGATTTGAGATATTCTCATATTTTGTCGGATTGAGATCTTTTCATATTTTATGGGATTGAGATATTCTCAGTATAATTTATATTGATATTAATATTGATAAGGTTTCTAAAAAAAATAGAAATCCAAAAAAAATAGGATTCTTGGATGGATATATCTCTTGATCTTTTGATATATATGTTATATTAATAGGAAGTTCCATATTTTATGTGGATTCCTAATTATATATATGGGATGAAAGTGCAGAGAATTGGTATGCCCAATTTATGTCACCATATGGGAATGGTGGTTCCTCTAGAGAGAGATGGAGGTAGAGCCTAATGTGCATAATATGTGATTTTCTCTTAGAGAAAAAAGCTTCTTTTGGATAGAAACATTGTGATTGTGTCTCTTTTGGACTCCCGAAGATTGAGAGGCTTGTTTCTTGTAGAGAAGTAGTTCCCAGTGAGATTTTGAGTGGTTTTCCTTTTAGTGAGATACAGCCTCATTTGCTTTTAAAGTTCTCTTCTTTGACAATGGTCTAGTTATAGAATAAAGATGAGAGATCGACAGTGGTGTCGTTTGGGAGAGTAAGTTTAAAAGAGTTTGCTCGACTTGTATTTCTATCGCGGTTTGCTCCAAATCTTTGATGTAACTTTTATTGGTATAGTGGATTTCGGTTTGTCATGCCCGTAGATGTAGCCCTTTTGGGGTGAACCACGTAAATATTAGGGTTCTTATGGTATGTGTTTCATACTTTATTTGCCAAATATTGACCCATCGGGTTTATTGCTTTCGCGTGCACAATATACCCGACACGAGTCTGGGTATGGGTCCAGTATTTGGATCCCCAGGTAGGGTCTAGGTCCTACAAAATGGATTAGAAAAGTTTTTGGTACGGGTCCGATTACAAGTGGACCCACCCCATTCGAACCTGGGAGTTATTATTATGTGAAGTATAATACCCCAAGTTAATAGGTATAGTACCCTAAGTTATAATGCACATGTCTCATACTTGATGCAAAATTATTATGTTAAGTATTATTATGTTAAAAATACAATGCACATTTTAAGTTTTTTTTTACCCAAACTCTAATTCCAAAATCCCCAAATCGCCATTACGGCTTCTCTCATCCCTATTCCATGACTAGACCACTATCAAGAAAGATGACAACTTTGAGATCAAACGAAACTTTATCTCATTAAAGGGGGAAACAACCAAAAATGTCCATGGCAACCGCTTCTCTACAAGAACAAACATCTCACTTTGCAAGAGTCTTCAGGAGGCATTATCATTGTTTCCCTTCATAGGAAGTTCTCTTCTCTCTAAGAGGAAATTACATCTTATGCATATAAAGCTTTGTCTCCCTCTCTCTAGAGGAACCACAATTCCCATATGGTGACCCAAATAGGTCACACGAATTCTCTGCACTTTCATCCCATATATATAACCTTAAGAGTCCATATTAAATAGGAAACTTCCTATTGATGATACATAACCACGAGAGAAATCCAAGAGTCCTAATCTTTTTGGATTTCTATTTTCTTTAGGAAACTTATCAATATAAATTTCAATCCCACAAAATATGGGATTTCATTATGTTGGTGTTTTTGGATAGCACCAAATCCAATAATCTCCACCTTAATATCAAAATCACATGATCACCATACCAACATCCATTGCCAAATAAATTTCTTCATCATTCTTATTGAAAAATAGTGTTTGTCATCAAATTTCTCCACCTCAAACTTTGCATTCGAAATCTTTATTGCCTTACCGAAAACCCTAAACCCTAAACCAAGGCTCTGATACCACTTGTTGTGCGTGGAAGCTCTAAACCCGATGAGTTGATTTTTGGTAAATAAATTATGAGAAATAAGTCATGAAACATATAACACAATAACACAAATATTTACGTGATTCACCCCAAAAGGGCTACATCCATGGGTACGCCAAACAGAAATCCATTATACCACATCAAAGATTTTGGAACAAACCTCGACAAAAACTTAAATCGAGCAAACTAGTTTAAATCTGCTCTCCCAAACAGCACCATGTCAATTCTCTCATCTCCATTCCATTTTAGGAAGAGAACAACTTTAAGAGCAAACAAGACTTTATCTCATTAAAATGGTAAACAAACCAAAACCTCTATGGCAACCGCTTCTCTACAAGAAACCAACTTCTCTCTTTACAGGAGTCTTTAGGAGGCATCATCAATGTTTCTCTTTATAGGAAACTCTCTTCTCACTAAAGGAAAATTGCATCTTATGCACATTAGGCTCTATCTCCCTCTCTATAGAGGAACCACCATTCCATATGGTGACCAAAGTCGGGCACACGAATTTTTTGCACTTTCATCCTTTATATATAAGATTAAGAGTCCATAGTAAATAGGAAACTTCCTATTGATGCTTCATATATCTCAAAACCACAAGATAAATCTAATAATCCTAATCTTTTTGGATTTCTATTTCCTTTAAGAAACTTATCAATATAAATCTCAATCCCACAAAATATGAGAATATCTCAATCCCACAAAATATGGGATTTCCTTATGTTGGTGATTTTGAATAACACCAAATCCGACAATCTCCAACTTGATATCAAAATCACAAACTCACCATGCCAACATTTATTGCCAAATAAATTCCTTCATCATTTTTGCTGAAAGATAGTGTTTGTCATCAAACTTTGCATTTGAAACCTTTATTGTCTTACCAAAAACCCTAAACCAGGGCTCTAATACCACTTGTTGTGCGTGGAAGCTCTAAACCCGACGGGTTGACTTTTGACAAATAAATTATGATAAATAAATCATGAAACACATACACAAGAATACAAATATTTATGTGGTTCACCCCAAAAAGGCTACATCCACAAGCACGGCAAACAGAAATCTATTATACCACATCAAAGATTTTGGAACAAAACTCGACAAAAATCCAAATCAGGCAAACCCTTTTAACCTACTCTCTCAAACTACACCATGCTGATTCTCTCATCTCTATTTCATAATTAGACCACTGTCTATGAAGAGAAAACTTTGAGAGCAAACGAGACTTTATCTCATTAAAATGTGAAACAACCCAAAATCTTCATGGCAGCCGCTTCTTCACAAGAAACCAACATCTCTCTTTGCATGAGTCTTCAAGAAGCATCATCAATGTCCATTCTCTCTAAGAGGAAATTACATTTTATGCACATGAGGCTCTATCTCCCTTTCTCTAGAGGAACCACCATTCCTATATGGTGACCAAAATTTGGCACACAAATTCTCTACACTTTCATCCCTTATATATAAGATTAGGTGTCAATAGTAAATATGAAACTTCCTATTGATGCTATATATATCTCAAAACCACGAGATAAATCTAAGAATCCTAATCTTTTTGGATTTCTATTTCTTTTAGGAAATTAATCAATATAAATTTCAATCACACAAAATATGGGAATATCTCATTCACACAAAATATGGGATTTACTTATGTTGGTGATTTTGAATAGTACCAAATCCAACAATCTCCACCTTGATATCAAAATCACATATTCCCCATGCCAACATACATTGCCAAATAAATTCTTTCATCATTTTAGCTGAAAATTAGTGTTTGTTATCAAATTTCTCCACCTTAAACTTTTTATTCGAAACCTTTATTGCCTTACCGAAAACCCTAAACCATGGCTCTAATACCACTCGTTGTACGTGGAAGCTCTAAACTCGACGGGCTGATTTTTGGCAAATAAAGTATGAGAAATAAATCATGAAACACATAACACATGAACACAAATATTTACGTGGTTTACCCCAAAAGGGCTACATCCACGAGCACGGTAAACAGAAATCAATTATACCACATCAAAGATTTTTTAACAAACCTCGACAAAAACACAAATCGAGCAAACGCTTTTAAACCTACTCTCCCAAACGGCACCATGTCGATTCTCTCATCTCTATTTTATAACTAGACCACTGTCTAATAAGAAAACAACTTTAAGAGCAAACGAGATTTTATCTCATTAAAAGGGTAAACAATCTAAAATCTCAATAGCAACCGCTTCTCTACAAGAAACCAATCTATCACTCTACAGGAGTCTTCAGGAGGCATTCTCAATGTTTCTCTTCAAATGAAGTTCTCTTCTCTCTATGAGGAAATTGCAACTTGTGCACAGGAGGCTCTATCTCCCTCTCTCTAGAGGAACCACCATACCCATATGGTGACCCAAATATGACACACGAATTCTCTGCACTTTCATTCCACATATATAATATTAGGAGTCCACACTAAATAAGAAACTTTATATTGAAAGAAAGACATATGTGATCTTTTACCGGGGAATACATTTTTTTTTATTTTTTTTTTCACCCTTTTCTTTTGGTAAAAGATCACTTACAGGTGGTCTTTATTATAATAAGATAAATTTCAAAATAAAATAAACATAACAATAAAACCAAGATCTTAATAACTTGATGTCATTGAAACAACTTTGCACTATGCTTGAGAATAAAAGATAAGATTGTAAGAAACAAAAAAAGAAGAGTGTCGGAATTACCTCAACCGGGCTTATTACACCCCACATCGAGTCACCAGCATCTGATGGCACGGGATCGATGGTCTAGCTTCAATCTCGAACCGAAAAAACAAATTTTGGCCAAGCCACACCACTGGAACATGAACCCCTTTAATCACAAAAACTCAAACCCTAGGTGAATTCTCTTAACAACTTAGTTTGAGAGAGATGGATTCTCTTTTTGCTAAACCCTAAAACCCTTAGCCATAAATCCATATTTAAGAGATATGAGATAAGAACTTCATAATCTAAACCCTTAGGTTTTTCACAATGTGAGAGAGAGAGAGAGAGAGATCAAACATGGGAGAGTAGTGCGTGCCCTCTTTTTGGGATATGAGAGAGAAAAATGGGGTATGGCTTTACTAAATATAGGTTCCATTCTACTGTATTATTGCTACAGTAAAATGGGGGATGGCTTACTAAATATAGGTTTT